AATAATATTAATAATAACTTAACTAAATCGATATTTACTAACTTAAAAAAATTTTAATTTAAAATCAAAATTAAAGTTCCAAACTCTTATATTACCAAAAGAAGTAACTTCTCCAATACACCCAACAAATTAAAAAAATAAGACGGACTATGTCAAATTGCAAATCACATGCCTTGCTTTTTTATTTATTTAACTCTAGATTTTAATTTCATGTACTGAGGTTGTTTAGGGTTAGTTGAATAATCCAACCATGGCTAGCTTCTTGCTGGACTGTTTTGTTGTAGAGAAATTGAAAGAAATCAAAGAGAAATTGTGAGGGTAAAGAAGAAGATAAGGTTTTAGTATCAAAGCAAAAAGTTAATGGAATAAGAAGGTATTTGACCCTTTATTAAATGTTAAGAATTATTTTTTAATTGTGAAGATAATATTGTAGTTTGGAAATCAGATTAGATCCACTAATAAATACACTAATTTTTACAATATGATGTGAAATTGTGGATATCAATTTATATGTGATGCTGATGAAAAAATTAATCAAAAAGCATTATACTTACATGCATAATAATTACAAATATTACATATAGCATTTTCTTTCTCCAATAGAAAGTTAAATCCTGATGAGGTGGCAAACTGAGCCTTTACACCAGTGGTTTATTCTTAAATTTTAATATTTGAATTTAATTAATTAAGAGTTTAATTTCTATCAATTACTTAAAAAAAAATTTCATTACCCATAATTCCTCGTATTTAAAAAAAAATTCTGATGAGGTGGTGGGGCTTTGCTAGAATCTTTTATTTTTTATTTTTTGCAATTCAAGGGTGTAAACAGTACAACCATATGCATCTATACTGACGGAAGTTTTCCGTCTGTATAGACCCTTTTTCCGTCTGTATACACCCCTTGGGACTATTCCGACGGAAGTCTTTTCAGTCGGTGCAAACCTCGTCAGTATAGGGTCTATACCAACGCCCAATCCGTCTGTATAGACCCTTGGGATCTATTCTGATGGAAGATTTGTCCGTTGGTATAGACCCTAAGAAATCTTAAGAATTTTTTCGTCTGTATAGACCTATACATTGACTGATGGCTAATTCCGTTGGTATAGACCCTAAACATTTTTTTTTAAAATTTACCGTGGGTATAGACCTTTATCTTTACAAACTAGCTGTGTTCTGATATGGTTGACCCAAAAAAAAAAAAAAATTCTATGTTCTGATGCGTGTAATGCATGCCTAAACCTAACATTACTTTGACTAACTAATTGAAAATGAAGTTGGATAGTAATCAGCTGGGTGGATGCAAAAGATGTAGATGTAAAAAATTTGATAACTAATTTTAAGCTAACAAGTATATGCCAATCATCAAAGTGAATAAAGAAAATTCTATGTTACTTATATTAGCTCCAAGACATTTAAAAAAGAAGAAGAAAAAGAAAAGATCAACAAAACTTATTATTCAACTAGCTATGACTATCACACTTAGAAAATACCCAAACAATTCTTTTACCATCCACCCTATCATAAAGTACAAGCTTCTTACCTTGCAGTTCTTCCATGGAGGATGCCATACACGACGTGGCCATTTGCTTGGAACTCTTTCAATTATTGCAGAGGTTGTTAGCCTGTTAAATAACAGATAACAGAAAATCACAAGATAGAATTCTATGTTTCTAGATATAATTACCATGGCATAACAGAGCAGGTACTAGAAAGCTCCACTAATACCCAATCAATTATAAAGTGATAAGATAAAACAAGGCCAAAGCATAAATGCATAATGTAGATTTTGAAAAACCATAGATATGCCTGAATACTATTAAGTAAAAAAAATATAAAGATGAAAGGTATTTATCTCAACGGGGAATAGGCTAACATAAGGAAGATTAATTTAGCACACCAAAGTACATAAGCAACTAAGTAGGACTTAAAATAGAAGAACATATCATAATTTTGTAATAGCATCACGAAGACAGAAAAGGCATGTGAAAGAGATTTAAAACCTTTCAGAAAACCCAGGTGCAGAAACAATTGAAGTGCTTTTGCCTATGTTACCAACTTCACTTCTGGAAAACAGAAATGGAGACATAGTTAGTACAACTCTGTCTTAAAGACAGAACTCCCTGCATATGGCTTGAAAGAAAGTGGAACATATAGGGACCCTACTTGCCACTGGAGTTTACTATTGTTTAATATTATCCGCCTCAACTCTGATTACAGCATCCCATTTTTTGAATTTAGACTTTCACCAAGATAAGTCTAGTCTATTCTTTTTGTCCACATGCATCCACCCATGAATTTTCACAGATGAAGCTAACCAGATACAAGATTGCATTCTTTTACTGTTGAAGTCAAAACTCATCTCCCTATTTCTTAAGAAAGATGGGAATTGGAACCAGAAAAGAATTATAAATTTGACATAGATAACTTACGGTCCTTTTAGTTGCAGAGATAACCACATAAAAGTTGGGACCTTCCCTAAGCAGCAAACCCTCCCTTTCTTGTCAGATCCCTTCACCTTAAAATGCAAATAAAAACCAAAGGTATTATCCCAATCTGCAAGTTAGAATATTGATCAGAACAACATTCAAAAACCACCACGTTCAGCTTGCTACATATTTTAGTTTTGGACTTAATTTGGCTGCTAGATATTACGGAGAAAGTCATCTGCATTTTTCTTTAAAGAAATAGAAAAGGGAGTCAGGTGCCAAGATTGTTTACCATGATCTTGTCATTCAATGAATCTCCAGCCTTCCAAGATAAGAACCTCCCTGCAAAAGTGCAGTTACATTCAATTAATAAAAAGCAGTTACTTTCTCAAAAATCTTGTTGACTCTTTCTACCCATGTACTCTCCCGTTTTCCTCTGCACAAATCACAATGGCTAGCTTTTAGCTAAATCTAAATCTAGAGCAGTGGTTTGTAGCAGTATGTTATATCAGCTGGATCATGAAATACACAAAAGAACTTTATAGACAGGCAAACAAGAAAAGGAAAAGGTAAAAGCGTATTACTAAACATTGATAAAAAGGTATAATAGCCACAGCACAGTGGCTTACCAAATGGTTGCAGAAGGTTCTGAGGGACAGAAGCAACAGGAGACCTCCAATACCAGACTATCAGCATGAAATATGTTGCAATCTACACAACCAAAAATGGAAAAAGTGTAGGACCTTCATGAAGGAAACAAACAGATAAACTTCCAAAGTTCCAATAACAATTTCACAGGCTGACCTTTGTGATGAAAAAAGCTTTCAGATACAAGTCATAAGACAGCTTTATCTCTTCGCTGCGTTGTTCTTGATCTGGAAATCAAAGTGTCAAAAGCTTCTATCACTATGAATTAACACTAAACAGATTCTAAAAAATAAAAAGGAAACACTAGGAGCATATAAAACTATATAAGGCCGCGTAAGAAAGGAACTCTCTCGGAAAGAAAAAGAAAGAAGAACAAGGCAAGAGAGACAGATTATGTGTTTTTCCTTTTGGCGCCCTCAATCAGATATAGCCATATAGGCCACTAAAAAGACAGTATTGCATGGAACATGCACCTTGGCAATATAAAAGAAGAGGGAGGGCCAAGAACATGCAAAGTATTGCTCATACGTGTGTGTGTGTTGTGCATGCGCAATGTGTATCAATTGACATCGTAACCGGTCTCTAAAATTAAGTGACACCTAGATACACAAAGTCATAATTTGAAGTGGGAATTACAGCCACAGACTTAACATTTGGCAGGACAATGCAGTCATTAACCTTTAATTGTCTATCAGGTCCCAACACCACAAAGGAAATTTTACACAATCATCCACCAAGCTGACACAAAACCAGTCCCATGATCCAAATCAAATCCTTCTATCAATTATTTATTTCCACTTGCCAATTTACATTGTATGGAATCCAAAACAGCACAAAGTGTTGTCCAAGAAATCCATGTTAACTGTTTACAAACTATGCATGGATAGCCAACAACATTGATATCTTACTAAACATTAACTCTTTAGAAAATAAGGCACTTTTATAAAATGCAAATAAAAACCAAGCCAAAACATATTTCTTATTTGTTTTTTTTTAAGTCAGAAAGTACTATGAATTTTGTCATCTAAATAATGTAAAGGGTTATGAATTCTCTAATTTTTAGTTTTTGATAAAAGAGAGGATAAGTGAAAATTTCAATGAAAATAACAAAAGGTGTTGATAACATAAACCATATTCATAAAAAGAGGGGGAAAAAATCAATGCATATAATTCAAGCATAACCAAACAACTTAAGTCAGCCACCATATGATTTCAGCACAATTTCTATTGTAGCAAACCAAGCACACCTTTTTCCTAAATCATGAGATGAGATTAACCCCAAGAATAATTACAGTAAACCCTAATTAAAACCCAGAATAGGAATCTATTTTTGAGACATTTTATAAAATTCTTACTCCATAGAAGAGATATAAAAGCAAATGTACTTATCATGAATTTAAAAGCTTCCATAAAATTTATGCAGAAGCAATCCATATATAGTAAGCAAATTAACAATTTCATTCTCTACAGATCTACAAAAAAAAAATTGCATTGGAAAAATACCAGTCTATCACCTGTTGAATTTTTGGAGCAAATTCTTCAACCTGGAAATAGATGAACGGAGATCAAAGAAAAATGGAGCAAATCCACGAAAATAGAGGAAGAAATACAAGAAATAATAGAAACCTCATTTAGGGCGAGTGAAATTCGAGCTATTTTGGGTGAGAAATTGGAAGGCAGCAAGGAGGATGAAAGAAAGAAAAAGAAGAATCAAAGGAGTATTGACTAACCTTCTTCTTCTCTCAGTAATGCCACTACCTCTTTGCCACCAGATCCTCAACAGAAGCCTCCTTTTCACTTAGCCAAGCAGCACGCCACTACCTCTCCTCCGCTAGAAACCTTCTATACATCAAATCAAATCAAAATTACAGGAGAACCCAAAGCTTGGCATAAAATTAGAGATAGATTTACAAATCTCAAAAACCCTAAAGTTGTACTCGATTTTGATATAGGAAAAAGGTGGATGAGAAACTTAGGTTAGAGAGTGTAATTTGGGGGAATTGGAAGCTATCAAGAGGATGAAATCAACCCAAATACTTGTCTCTTGAACGAAATCAACCCATGAATATAGAAGAAATGCAGAGGATTAGGAAGAAATCTCCCAAAATCAACACAAACTCACCTACTGACCTCATGTCATTGATGGATTAGAGTCGATCTTTTGAATTTTGCAGTTAGGTTCGAATGGGTTTTTGAGTTTTAGGAAAATCGATTCCAAATTTTGGAGATTTAGGAGGGAGACGGAAATACTTAGGTCTATAAGGGGAGGGAAACTCAGAATTTGGGGAAGAAAAATTGGGAATATGCAGAGGGAAGGGAAAATGTACACAGACGGCTAAAATAAATGAGGAAAAAATCATGTTCAAGAAACAGTCAGTTATACAGACAGAATAGGTGAATCCGTCTGTATACATAGATTTATACAAATGAATATTGATAACCGTTAGAATATATATACTCTATACAGACGGAAAATTAGTAATCCGTTTGTATAAACTTAGTCTATACTAACGGATATATTTTTTCTGTTGGTATAGACCAATGATTACTGACTCTTTATGTTTTCCGTTAGTATAAATATGTGTATACTGACTGCTTATGATTTCCGTTGGTATAGACCCGTATATACAGACGGATTTCAATCCGTCAGTATAGACTTCCGTTGGTAAAGGGCATTTTGCTTGTAGTGAAACTACTAACCTCATGAATTTTAAATTAAAAATTTTTATATTACTTAGTATTAATTTAACTAAATTCATATATTATTTATTTTTTTTAAATGATAAAATGTCTTAATTTACTTAAATATCATTGTCTTATTAGAGGAGAGGAGATACCACAAACGGACAAAGACTAAAATTAGTGCGCTATCATTCACTAAAGCAAACTTGAAACTGAAAATTTAGTGTGCTCCCTTTCTCACTCCACTAATTCGCTACGTCGATTTTTGATTGAGAAATATTTGGTATACTTGCACGTACGTTAGGAGGCAGATCATTGAATCTTTCCGTCGAGAAATAAAGATCCATGAAGATGAAGGTCCACAAGCCTCTTTTATGGTAACCAAATGATGAAGGTCCATCAACACGTAATATACGATTATTTTCTTTTTCGTTTGCGAAAGGTCTATGGTTTCACGGTGCAACTAAGTCATCTTCGGAAATCTGAGTCAACTAACGCTTTTACAAACTATATATATAGCATTTTCTTTCTCCAATCAAGTTAAATTTTGAAAAGGTGGCTAGGCTTTGCTTGGGTTTTTTTTTTTT